CATTGAAGAATGCTGTTGTAATTTTGATAGGGATTGCATTGAATCTGTAGATTGTTTTAGGCAGTATGGTCATTTTGACAATATTAATTCTTCCTATCCATGAGCATGGGATGTGTTTCCATTTATTGGTATCTTCTTTAATTTCTCTCATGAATGTCTTGTAGTTTTCAGGGTATAGGTCTTTCACTTCCTTGGTTAGGTTTATTCTTAGGTATTTTATTCTTTTTGATGCAATTGTGAATGGAATTGTTTTCCTGATTTCTCTTTCTGCTAATTCTTGAAGAACCAGCTCCTTTCACTGATCGTTTTTATTTTTATTCTCCTCAATTTTTAAAACTTATGCTCTAATCTTTATTATGTCCCTCCTACTGACTTTGGGTCTCATTTGTTCTTGTTTTTGTAGTTTTGTTAATTGTGAGTTTAGTCTGTTCATATGGGATTGTTCTTTTTTCCTGAGGAAGGCCTGTATTGCAATATACTTCCCTCTTAGCACAGCCTTTGCTGCATTCCACAGATTTTGCAGTGTTGAATTGTTGTTTTCATTTGTCTCCATATATTGCTTGATCTCTGTTTTTATTTGATCGTTGATCCATTGATTATTTAGGAGCATGTTATTAAGCCTCCATGTGTTTGTGGGCTTTTCAGTTTTCTTTGCATAACTTATTTCTAGTTTCGTACCTTTGTGGTCTGAGAAGCTGGTTGGTGCTATTTCAATCTTTTTTAATTTACCGAGGCTCTTTTTGTGGTCTAGTATATGATTTATTCTTGAAAATGTTCCATGTGTACTTGTGAAGAATGTATATCCTGCTGCTTTTGGGTGGAGTGTTCTGTTAGGTCTGTTAGGTCCATCTGTTCTAGTGTGTTGTTCAGTGCCTCTGTCGCCTTACTTATTTTCTGTCTGGTGGATCTGTCCTTTTGAGTGAGTGGTGTGTTGAAGTCTCCTAAAATGAATGCATTGCATTCTATTTCCCCCTTTAATTCTGTTAGTATTTGTTTCACATATGTAGGTCCTCCTGTCGGTGCATAGATATTTATAATAGTTATATCCTCTTGTTGGACTGACCCATTTATCATTATGTAATGTCCTTCTTTGTCTCTTGTGATTTTCTTTGTTTTGAAGTCTCTTGTCTGATGCAAGTACTACAACTCCTGCTTTTTTCTCCCTATAGTTTGCATGAAATATCTTTTTCCATCCCTTCACTTTCAGTCCGTATATGTCTTTGGGTTTGAAGTGAGCCTCTTGTAGGCAGCATATATATGGGTCCTGTTTTTATTACCCATTCAGTGATTCTATGTCTTTTGATTGGTGCATTCAGACCGTTTACATTTATGGTGATTATAGATAGGTATGTACTTATTGCCATTGCAGGCTTTAGATTCGAGGTTACCAAAGGTACAAGGGTAATTCCCTTACTATCTGACTGCCTAATTTAACTCACTTAGTATGCAATTACAAACACAAAGTAAAGGTTCTTTTTTTTTCCTCTTTTTTCTTCCTCCTCCATTCTTTATATATTAGGTATCATATTCTGTACTCTTTGTCTATCCCTTGACTCACTTTGGGGGTGGTTGACTTGATTTTGCATCTGCTTAGTAATTAATTGTTCTACTTTCTTTACTGTGGTTTTATTTTCTCTGGTGACAGCTATTTAGCACTAGAAACACTTCCATCTATAGCAGTCCCTCCAAAATACACTGTAGAGGTGGTTTATGGGAGGCAAATTCTCTCAGCTTTTGCTTATCTGGAAATTGTTTAATTCCTCCTTCAAATTTAAATGATAATTTTGCTGGGTAGTGTATTCTTGGTTTGAGGCCCTTCTGTTTCATTGCACTTCATGCCACCCCCTTGTGGCCTGCAAGGTTTCTGTTGAGAGGTCTGATGATAGCCTGATGGGTTTTCCTTTGTATGTGAACTTTTTCTCTCTCTAGCTGTTTTTAATGGTCTGTCATTATCCTTGATCGCTGCCATTTTAATTACTATATGTCTTGGTGTTGTCTTCCTTGGGTACCTTGTGTTGGGAGATCCGTGCACCACCATAGCCTGAGAGATTATTTCAGGGGAAGTTTTCAGCAATTACCTCTTCAAAGACACTTTCTATCCCTTTTCTCTCTCTTCTTCCTTTGTTACGCCTATAATGCGAACATTGTTCCATTTGGATTGGTCACACAGTTCTCTCAATATTCTTTCATTCCTTGAGATCCTTTTTTCTCTCTGTGCCTCAGCATCTTTGTGTTCCCCTTCTCTAATTTCTATTCCATTTACCGTGTCTCCTAATACATCTAATCTGCTTTCAAGTCCCTCCATTGTATGTTTCATTTCAGATATGGAATTTCTTAATGATTAAATCTCTGTCCTAAATTCATTCCTGAGTTCCGGAATATTTTTCTATACCTCCATGAGCATGTTTTTTATTTTTATTTTGAACTCTCTTTCAGGAAGATTGGTGAGTTCAGTTTCACTTGGGCCTTTTTTCAGGTGTTTGTGAGATTTTGATCTGATCCAGGTTCCTTTGATGTTTCACATTTGTATGTGGTGGCCTCTAGTGCCCAGAAGCTCTACTCTCTCGAGCTGCTTAGCCTCTGGAGTGATGTCGGGGTTGCAGGGGAGTGGCACTGGTGCCTGGGGGGAGGAAAGAGCTGTTTCCTGCTTCCTGGCTGCTGTGCCTGTCTCCACTGTCAGAATCAGTGAGCCAAGCACACAAGTGTAAGTCTCTGTGCTTTGCGTTTGTAGCTGCCCTAGGCAGGGCGTCCCTCTGCCTTGCCTGATGCCAGGGCAGGGACTACCCGTTTACGAGCCAGTGCCAGCAGGCCAGGAGGAAGGCACAGCAGGCTGTGTATCATGGTGGGGCCGTCAGAGCTGAGTAGCCAACCAGGGGGATGGAGTGCCTGAAGCTCCTGAAAGTTCCCAACCTGCTGGGCAGAGTGTGCCTGGACAATTTTGTCCACCTATCCTTTCTCCTGAGCAGCAAGTTCTGTGCGATCCTTGCCCCTTTAGCAGCCCTCTTGCTGTTAGGAAGTCTCTCAGACTACCCACCTTTCTTTTGTCCCAGAGCAGCCGGATGTGGATCCCTGTTTTCCACAAACAGCTGGAATCTCAGTCTCTCTAAGTATTCTGCCTGTCTTAGCTTTCCAACCCCACTAATCTCCAGAGCACCATACAATGTAGGTTCGTGCTTCCAAAGCAGATCTCCAGGGCTGGGTGTTCAGCAGTCCTAGGCTTCCACCCACTCCTCGCTCCATTTCTCTTCCTCCCACTGGTGAGCTGGGGTGGGTGAAGGGCTTGTGTCCCACCAGATCAAGGCTTTGGTACATTACCATGTTTCATGAGGTCGGCTCTTTTCTCCAGGTGTATGCAGTCTGGTGCAGCCTTCTTTCCTATTGCCCTTTTAGGATTAGTTGTATTAACTGTATTTTCATATTATATGTGGTTTTGGGAGGAGTTCTCTCTCTCACCTCTAATGCTATCATCTTTAATCCTCCCTATCAATTTTTTATACTTACTTGTTTCCATGTGTGCAATTTTATAAAATCTCAATAAAGACTTCCTTGTGGGGAGGGTGCAGAGATAAAGGTACAAAAATTCTCAATCAGAATGTAAGTTGGTCATGATCATGGTAGTACAGCATGGAGAATACAACCAATGATTCTGTAACATTTTCCTGTATTGACAGATAATGGCTGTGTTAGTGGGAGTGAGGATTTAATAATATGGGCAACTGTTGAACCACTGTGTTGTGTATTTAAACCCATATAAGATTGTGTATGAATGATACTTCAATTTCAAAAAAAATGGATAGAATAAACAAAAGACCTTGAGGGTTGTCGCCATGTCTTGATTTTCTTTTTCCCTCTCTAGTACCTTGATCAGCCCACAGAGCATGGTGAATAAATATTAATTAGATGAATCAATATTACTTTATTTTCCCCATTCCACAGCTTTGCTGTTTTATGAAACCATAATAGTTTTCAAATTAATACTCTGGTCTCAGATTTTTCTGGTGTCTTTTGAGTTTGACATGAAGGAATATGTCTTGGAAGATCTCGGTCTCCTTGGTGTTAATCACAAAAGTTATCTCCTGAAATTTTATTTTTCCTTGATAATCTGTATGAGGCAATGACATACACAAATTTTTCTAGACTCTTCCTCTTCTGTATTCAGGGATATAACCTACAATGATGGTTCATTGTGTTTTCCTCCACAACTTACAGTATAATATACTGTCTTATTTGCACAAGTTTATTTTTCTGTATGCGTGGATTTTTATTATTTTTAATTTTGGAGGCCCAATTTTAATTTTTGTTTTTAAAAAACTAATCTCAAAAGTAACAATGTGGATCAAAACAAATCCAAATAAAATAGAAATATATGAAGTAAAAAATGAAAATCTTTCTATCTGACTCCTCAGAGGTCACCACTGTTAGCAAAACCTTTCCAGATGTTATTTTTTAGTTGTACTGTGTACTTACTTTTTTTCCCAAATACCACAAAACTAGGGTAACAGTATACATGAAATTCTGCATTTTGCCCTTTTACTTAATAATTTATTTAATCAATACCTATTGAAGGACAGTTAGGTTTCTAATTTCTCTATTAAAACAGTGTACTGCCATTAAAACCTTTATATGTATATCTTTATAAATTATGCTAATATACCTATAGGCTAGATTAGTAAAAATGGGATTGTCTTGGGGTACTTAAAAATTTTAAAGTTCTGCCAAATTGCCTTCTGATAGGTATAACAGTTTATATTCTTTCCAAGATACAATATTATTATATCGTTCTTTATACTTATGTTCTTATTTTTATCCTCATTTAGTAACCCACATCTTGATTATTTAAGAAATAAATAACAATTTGTTGCTGAAAATTAGAAAGTCAGCTTTTTCGTTCTCCCTTAAAAGTGTGGCATTTTCACGTTTAGTAAGAAAGAACTCAGAAAAATCACATGATAATGATGTTCATGGAGTATCTCATATATGACTCCTTTTGTCTTTCTCAGCTTGAAATACCTTTGGACTCCTTACGTTTGCACGCTAGCAGCCTTTGGTGTGTGTTCTCCTGAACTTTGGATGACACTTTTCAAGTGGCTTCGATTACGAACTGTACACCCAGTATTGTTAGTAAGTCATTGTTATTTTGTGTTAAATACTTGATCCTCTTACAGTTACATAAATGCAAACCACATTGACAACAACTGTAATAGTATGAGTAGAAAAAAGAGATTCTATGAAAAACATTTTTTTATAATTTCTGATTATAAAAGTAATGTACATCAATGCACACAAATTAAAAAAGAAAAAGAAAAATGAAATAATGTGAGACTATCAAGAATTAATTTTTGTAATAGCTTTCTTGGTTTGACTTAGAGTCATATGTTTTCAATATGAATAATACATTTCAATACAAATAATACATGTATAATGTGCTTGGAATACAGAGATAAAACGTGATTAATTTCATCAAGTAGATTACAGTCTCTTGGACATAAAAACAGATAATAGGAAGTATTGATAGGGTTGTATTGGAACACAGAGAAGGGCTACTTAATTTTTTCAGGGATTCAAAGAAGATTTTACAATCTGAGATTTGAAATGAGTTATTAGTCAAATGAAGGAGAAAAAAAGGTAGTTATGGTAGAAGGAATAAACATAGGTAGGCGAAGAACATAATATAATCAAAGGAAATAAAAACAGGCAAAGAAAAAAGCACAGTGTATTTAGTTTTGTTGGCACATAAAATGTGAGGTGGGAATTAAAGATGGCGGCATGAGAGGAGAGACAGAGGCTTCCTCCTAAAACTGGATACAATTAGAAAATTTAATTGGCACAACTAATCCTGGGAGAGAAACGGGAAAGAGGATGGCATCAGACTACACACACCTGGAGAAAAGAGCGCAGACCTCAGCGAACGGGGTAACGTACCAGAGCTGTGGCTCCGCAGGACCCGAGCCCCTTCCCCTACCTCAGCTCACCGGCAGGAGGAAGACAAACGGAGCAGGGAGGGAGTGGAAGGCTTGGGACTGCTGAATACCTAGCTCTCTGGGAGCACAAACCTACATTTCATGGTGCTTTCATGAGCCTCACATGACTACTGGGTTGGAAAGTTAATACAGGCAGAGTTCCTGGGGAGACTGGGATTTCGGCTGCTTATGGAAAGCAGGGATCCATATCTGGCTGCTCTGGGACAAAAACTTATACCTGTGTGCCCGGCCCACTGGCTCAGGCAGTAGAGACAGGCACAGGAGCCAGGAGGTGAGGAACAGCTCTTTCCTCCCCCCAGGCACCAGTACCGCTCCCCTGCGACCCCTGACATTGCTTCAGGGGCTCAGCAGCTCCAGAATAGAGCTTCTGGACACTAGAGGGCGCCATATACAAACATGAAATGCCAAAGGAACCTTGTCCAGAGTAAAATCGTTAATACAAGTCCCGAGAAAGATTTAAATGATATGGACCTCGTGGCTCTTCCTGAAAGGGCGTTCAAAATAAAAATCATCAACATCCTAATGGAGGTACAGAAAGACATCCAAGAACTCAGGAATGAATTCAGGCCAGAGATCCAATCGTTAACACGATGGAGGGTATTAAAAGCAGGTTGGATATGTTGGAGGAGACAATAAATGAAATAGAAACTAGAGAAGAGGAATACAAAGAAGCTGAGGCACAGAGAGAAAAAAGCATCTCTAAAAATGAAAGAATATTGAGAGAACTGTGTGACCAATCCAAGTGGAACAATTTTTGCATTATAGGGATACCAGAAGAAGGAGAGAGAGAGAAAGGGATAGAAAGTGTCTTTGAGGAGGTAGTTGCTGAAAACTTCCCCAATCTGGGGAAGGACATAGTCTGTCAGGCCATGGAGATCCACAGATCCCCCAACACAAGGGACCCAAGGAAGACAACAGCAAGACACATAGTAATTAAAATGGGAAAGATCAAGGATAAGGACAGACTGTTAAAAGCAGCCAGAGGCAGAAATAAGATCATGTACAAAGGAAAGCCCATCAGACTAACATCAGACTTCTCAGCAGAAACCTTACAGGCCAGAAGGGAGTGGCATGATGTATTAAATGCCATGAAGCAGAAGGACCTGGAACCAAGATTACTTTATCCGGCAAGATTGTCATTTAAATTTGAAGGAGGGATTAAACAATTTCCAGATAAGCAAAAGCGGAGACAGTTTACCTCCCACAAACTATCTCTGCAGTCTATTTTGGAGGGACTGCTATAGATGGAAGTGTTCCTAGGGTTGGATAGCTGTCACCAGAGGTAGTAAAATCAAGGTAGGGAGGGTGGAGCAGCTGATTGCGAGGCAAATGCAAAATTAAGTTGACTATTCCCAAAGTCAATCAAGGGATAGACAAAAAGTACAGAATTTGATACCTAATATATAAAGAATGAAGGAAGAAGAAAAAGGAGGAGAAATAGAAAAGAACCTTCAGATTGTGTTTGTAACACCATACTAAATGAGTTAAGTTAGACTCTTAGATAGTAAGGAAAGTAATCTGGAACCTTTGGTAGCTACAAATCTAAAGCCTGAAAGGGCAATAAGTACATACCTATCGATAATCACCTTAAATGTAAATGGACTGAATGCACCAATCAAAAGACATAGAGTCACTGAATGGATAAAAAACAAGACCCATCTATATGCTGCTTACAATGACTCACCTCAAACCCAAAGACGTGCACAGACTAAAAGTCAAGGGATGGAAAAAGGTATTTCATGCAAACAATAGGGAGAGAAAAGCAGGTGTTGCAGTACTAGTATCAGACAAAATAGACTTCAAAACAAAGAAAGTAACAAGAGATAAAGAAGGACAGTACATAATGATAAAGGGCTCAGTCCAACAAGAGGATATAACCATCATAAATATATATGCACACAACACAGGAGCACCAGCATATGTGAAACAAATACTGACAGAACTAAAGAAGGAAATAGACTGCAATGCATTCATTTTAGGAAACTTCAACACACCATTCACTCCAAAGAACAGATCCACCAGCCAGAAAATAAGGACACAGAGGCACTGAACAACACACTATAACAGATGGACCTAAGAGACATCTATAGAACTCTACACCCAAAAGCAACAGGACACATATTCTTCTCAAGTGCACATGGAACATTCTCCAGAATAGACTACATACTAGGCTACAAAAAGAGCCTCAGTAAATTCCAAAAGATTGAAATCCTACCAACCAACTTTTCAGACCACAAAGGTATAAAACTAGAAATAAATTGTACCAAGAAAGCAAAAAGGCTCACAAACACATGGAGGCTTAACAATACGCATCTAAATCATCAGTGAATCAATGTCCAAATTAAAATGGAGATCCAGCAATATATGGAAATAAATGACAACAACAACACAAAGCCCCAACTTCTGTGGGATGCAGCGAAAGCAGTCTTAAGAGGAAAGTATATAGCAATCCAGGCACACTTAAAGAAGGAAGAACAAACCCAAATGAATAGTCTAATGTTATAATTACCAAAATTGGAAAAAGAAGAACAAATGAGGCCTAAAGTCAGCAGAAGGAGGGACATAATAAAGATCAGAGAAGAAAGAAACAAAATTGAGAAGAATAAAACAAAAGAAAAAATTAATGAAACCAAGAGCTGGTTCTTTGAGAAAATAAACAAAATAGGTAAGCCTCTAGCCAGACTTATTAAGTAAAAAAGAGAATCAACACACATCAGCAGAATCAGACATGAGAAAGGAAACATCACGATGGACCCAACAGAAAT